TTTCTAATGGTTTACCAAAAAAATAATAAGCTATGCAATAGAATACTCAACTCAAATAGAAAAACCCTTTATCTTTTCAGAAGCTTCTTTGTCATTCATCAGTCAATCAATGATGACAAAGAAACCATAAATGGAGGTATACCATAATTTCAATTGTCTTCCCACAATTTTAACAATATCTAATTCCGAATTCAAGAAGAGAGGAAACTGATCTGGCAAAATCTGGGTGCAAAAAGCTTATACAATATGGCAAAAATGTATCTTCCCGGAAGATAAAGTAGCTGCCAAGGTATGTTTTCTAACTTACTCATACGCCTAAACCATTAGGTGCACAAATGAGACGCTAGTATTCCCCACAAATATTAATGTGTATGAAATGAATCAACTTTCGCTTGTATATTTCCATGGACGCATATGCTCCACAAATTCACCTTGAAGACAAAAGAATTCAGCCACTCCACATAATTGCAGTGCGGTTTCCACATGAAAAATAAACTATTGAAAATTTTGAATCACTTAAATTTGATCTCTTACAAAGGGAAAACATGAAGCAAGACCAGTAGACTTACTATCTCCTCTGAGCTGGAGTTGATTTATCAAAAATTTTCTGAAAATATAAAGATCTTTCCTACTTTATTATTTTACCATGGCTAATGAAGGAAGAACCTAGTAGATTACCTTTTTCCGCATACAAGACACGCCAACGATATAGAGCAAATGAGAAGCACCGCCTTTTTTATACACACGATATTGAACACTGAAGGGGCATGACACATAAAATCACTTTTAGCCTACTATGAAAATGCATTCTTCTCAGTTAGGTTGACTTAAATAGAAGATATTAAGGCCATGAAACACCCAGCTTGTTAAGTTATTAAATTACATTTACTTTTTCCACTTCTGGTTATTTTATCAATTTTCCAGGGAAATAAAAATACTTAGAAGAGAACGTATGCTGAAATAGAGAAAAGGAAAAATGTCTAGACTTCCAAAGACATAACATCCTCTGTACAAATTAATCAGATAGAATTTTTCACGTGCATTTGGAGATGCCTATGGATACTCAGACTCCACGGTTTCTACATATTTCTTTGATAGGCCACTTGAAACATAAACTTGGCCGTCAGTCCAGAGGCTGTGTTTTATTATCCTTTTCAAAGGATTCAAGTGCAGCCCTTAACTGCTTCATAGTCAACCAAAAAAAAAAAGTCACTTGAAGTATGCAACATAACAAAACCAAATCATTTTAATTGTCCGATTCAAATACCATCTTCTGTAATATGAATTGTCACTATGAATTGTCACAAATTATCTATTTACTGTGCGCATGTTCCAAACACTGGCAAGCTGAATAAACATATATCCTTGCTATCGTGAGAAACACTGGAGATGTAGAAAATGGATTTCAGGGTAAATTGAACCCTTTGACAACCAACCAGAAATTTCATTTGTCTGATCATTCTTATTGAATTAGCGTTTTCTGGATAACTTGCAAATCTGTTATTTCTTGCATGCCCTTGTTCCCATCTAGTCAACTTTCACTTAATGATCTCTGCCTGGTATAAATCTTAGTTGTGTATGTTTAGGAAACGTGTATTTATGTGTCATGTTAATTTTCAACCACTTGATAAGCAATGCAACTTTTGTAATTTGTGCAATCCTCTTTCCGTATTGGAAGAACATGTATGTGCTGCTCTTTTTGGTTGGAAGAGTAAAACTGTAACAGAGATTTCAGAATGTTTTTTATACATTAAATTACTGCTATTCGTTTCAATATGGCTAACTTAAAGACCTTGATGGTTGAAGGTGAATACAAGTTTAAAGGCCATAACACTTGGATGAAAAGAATTTAATATTCACCCGGTCAAGAACAACTACTTGTTCTCTGTTTTCCATCACTCAGTTCTTAATCCCTCAGTTCTTCCTTCTCCATTTCAGCTTCTATCGTCACAAGATAAGTCCTTCATTTGTCATCTTTCCCGCATCCTTCTTTCCCTTTTTTCAAGTCTTACGAATGCCGTTTCTAGCCACAAATTCAATAAATTGATATATTCAGGTGCATTTTTGTTATATTTCCTTCATTTTGTCTTCGTGAAACTTTAAAGTCTAACTTAAAGTTGAAGAGAAGAAAATGTAACACAGGTTCTTCTGATCATACTTCTCCATTTCTTTCTAATAATACTTCTTTTCCTATATATAAAAAATGTCCTTCAAATCATCCAGTGCAGAGAACCCTACTTTTGCGATATGTTTAATTGCACAAGTGAATGCAAGAGAAAACTCCTGCAATTGGACCGCAATAGCAATCAAGGAGACAGCCTGTTCCTCAGAATTGCAATCAAGGAGAGTTCCAGCAGAACAAAAGACATTTTGATGATTTTACACTAGTTTCATAAAGATGGAAAAAATTTCAGATTATTGGCTGCTACCTAAACCTCTACATCACGTGAGAAAAGAAAAATATTGGAGCAGAATATGAGGATCAAAATATCCAGTTTGCTTATCACATGGGCATATCCAGGCTCCACAACTGTATATGATGAAAATTAAGCAGGTTATTCTCCCTGGCTACATACGGCTTCAATAATCTATGGTAGATAAGGATTTTAAAGCAACCTACTTCCCTGCAGATTTCACACTAATGGAGCATCTGTTCAACCAACAAGCCCAGCAGATGTGTACCAATCAGTTTGATGCCTTCTTTTTGGCAGTGAAGTTACGTTAATCACAATTTTTTAACCTATCTGAAAAGAGATCATCCGTGAAGATATCATCCTTCTCTCCAGTTTCTTGTATAAAAAGTAAATACTAATTTGAGCAAAATTATTATCCTTCAAACTGAAAGTTTGGTTGTCTTTTGTACATTCATTTTCCATCAATATCCAAAGCCAACGGGAAGAAAAATGTGCAGGTTATTTGAAAAGGAGGGCAACAATAGGGGTAATAAAGGTTGATTTGCATTAGTGAAGTACATGAATAATAGATGAATTGACATAATGAAGATGGCCAATCACTGAGCTCACCATAGGCAATAAATTACATGCGACTATACTAAGTAAACCTAAAAGTGCAGTTGGTAATGCCAACTTCAAAAAGTCACCAGAACTAGCTACAGCGATTATTTAGTTCAGGCTTAACACTAAGCAAGGTGTTGCGAATGAATATTGGTATAACAACATAAAAAAGGACAGCCATGGAATGGATGAAACCTTTATCTCCTTGATCCATAAGTTTCTGTGTCACTATAAAGATTGCAGTTTTGCCAGAAGCTCTCAAATTAATGCTGGTTTACATAAATACTCTTAATAATGTAATTCCTCATACTACCGATCCTAGTTAAAAATAGAGTTGCACTCTTTCTCTTGCATGTTGTTTTATCAGATGGTCAACATTCATTTGGCCAGCAGGATTACCTTTTATTGCTTTTCAAGTGTTTCAATAGCCTTGTATTTCATTCTACATTTCTTTAGACAAAAAACTATTCTACATATTGAGCACGAGACCTGGTCAAATAATAAAATCTAAGATGCAAGCAGCCAGAGAAGAGTATTTCAAGTCATATAAACTTTTGAGATTGGTGTTCCCTTCTACTTTTTCTCATGAAATTATATTAGCTGCTAGTGGAGGAACCCAAGTTAACATTACTGCAAAAACTTAGATACATTATTGGATTTGTTTACTCATTTTTTAGGTTTTGTTGTTTGCCAATAGATTATTGTTTCTGTAATGAAACAAAGATAACAGGATTTAGTCATTCGATATGTTCATTTAGGGGTGCGAATTCCGCAAATTAGTAATGGATGCTAAATCTTAAAAGAATTGATTTTTATCAAAATTTGTTAGTTAACTATTTATCACTCTGCCAAGAGGTACCAAGCCAGGGCAAGAAGAATTAGGAATCAAGCTGTTGTAAGGCTTGATTCAAGTTCTAATGAAATTGCCTCGAAGATTGCAAGTTGGATAAGGTTGATTATGTATGAGAGCTTTCAGGTGAGATTGATTATGTGAATTAGATTAATCAAATTCATATTTTTCATAAGATATTACGAATATTAACCCAGTACCATGTCTTTAAGTTGGGGAATTATGCTCACTAACGGGATCTTTCGGATTCTTTTATCATCAATCTCGGAATTCAAGCTGCTAAGTAAACTTATCGTTAAACCAATTAAATTTGACATCCACAGAAAATACAAGTGCTCCATACAAGAGAAGTAAGTGACAAGACAGCGACAGCAGCAGCAGCGACAGCAGCAGCAGCTTCCAGATTATCACATAAACAAAAACCGAAAAGGAAAGAAACCAAGAGGAATGCAAGACTAACCGCCTTGGCAAACTCAATCCTAAGCGGATTGCCAGCGACAGGGAATCCCTGGAGGGCTTTCATTGCCGCGATGGCGTCATGGTCTCTGTCGAAGTTGATAAAGGCGTAACTGCGGCCTGGTTGAAAAGCCACGCTCTCCAGCTCTCCAAACTGCAGGAAATAATCCGTAAGCTCACTCTCCACCAAGCTGTGAGATAGATTACCAACCCAGAGGTGCCTCGACGGCGGATTGATCCCTCTCCCCCCCGAAATCCCATCCGACCTCGATGAGTATTCCTTCCGCATCCTCTCCCTCCCTCCTCCCACTCCTCTACCGGACTATAGGTATACATAATAACACAAAACACAAATCAAGACTACGAATCTCCATGTGTATCTTTAAACATATGTAAGAAAATAAACGAAAAGAAACGTAATTCGCAGGGGAATCTATGAGATTGAAGTGGATAAGAACTAACCATTGGGATTGTAGGCTTTGAGCGAGACAATAAGATAGTTGTTGCTTCTCTTAATGCTTCTGGTGATTGAGGTGAGAGTGAAGCACAAACTGGGGACCCTATGAGGTGAAAGTGGTGTTGACGCTTAGGAGCAATATCTATGGCTAAAGAGATTGGAGTCCTCTGTCGATTAAGCCTAGAACTCGAGACGTTTCGTTTTCTAGGGTTTGCGGATAGATTTGAAGAGTGGTAAATTTCACGTTATCGACGTCAAAACGACAAACACAAAAGAACTTCTGAGTTTGACACGGATGATGTCGCACGTGCTAGCGTTTCAGTAGTAAATAATTTTAATTTGGCCAAAATATTCAGAACGATTTGATAAATTATTAAATTAATTTTTGAAATTAATATTTACTACAATTTCATCTCTTATTTTTTTTTTGTAATTTAATTTCTAATAATTTATCTCAAACAAGTTTATTTTTATTTAAAAATTTTAAAAATAGTTAAGTGATATTTGATTACTTTAATAGTTATTTTTAAAAAATAAACTTGATTATTATTATTATTTATTTATTTAATAATTTAAAAAATATATATATCTGATTAGATGAATTTGTGTTAAAAAAATCATTGATCTTTAATTGTTCTATATAGAGTATCAGATGATTCGTGTATTGACATAATAGGCATATTAAAACAATTCATCTTTATAAAAGCGGGTAAAACTCTATAAAAATTGACATAACTTAAAAGATAAGTAATTTCACTAGTATTAAGTAGAGTCTTATTTTTAGTAAATTACAAATTTTAAATAAATATTTATAAAATAAAATTATATTTTGTATTCATAGCATATGATATTTTAGTTAAAATTTTCTAGTAGCTTACTTTTGAAGTCAATTTTAGTTTTTGAGTTTTTTAGTTTAAAGTGTGAATTTGTTTGATCTCAAACAAGAGTAGGTTTTTTGAATTATTTTTTATTTAAAAATCATTTCACTTTATTTTAAAACAAATTGATTTTTAAAGGAAATGATAGGTTGAAGGAATTGTCAAAAATATATATGTTCTTAATTATCAAAGTACTCAAATAATTTTAAAGGAACAATCTTAATTTACATTGAGTATTTGAATTTTTTAAGGCTCTCGAAGGTTAGGAGATTCTTCAACTTATTACACGTTTTTTTTTTCATGGATGCGGATTGAATTATTTGAAGTTATGAACATAATCTTGTTATTTGCTAACAAGTTTTTGAGGAATGTCGAGGAAACAACATCCTCGTGCTCTCAGGAAGAATATACAGACGAAGAGGTTTGCTGTTCCTCTCGATAAGAAGACTTTTTTTGGGGGGATAGAAAGCCAATGAGGAGAATGTGCTCCCCTGCTCTTGCTTAGGAGACTTTTGCCATTCTCTTACAATCCTCCCCTCGATGTTGGTTGAAGAACTTTATTTTAGATGTGATAATTTAGTCAGTATTTGTTTTGAAAACCCTTTAAGTAAATATGGTAACAAGACATGTTAGCATCTTTGGAAGATCTACTGTTTAAAATAATTGGGCTTTATTAAAGTATGCTTTAAACATGATTTAAGCCCAATAAGCAATAATTTTGTCTTATTGATATATTAAGTATTATAAATAGTAATAACCAAATATTGGTGTCCAAAACAAAATTGTCTCAAAAAGAAAATATTTTTAGCAAAATTATATATAGAAGTCAAAAAATACTTCTTCTATATATTTTTTTACAACATAATACAATATTCATTCTTATCTATATCTCTAATATCCACTTTTGTGGATGTAAAAAAGTATTATGTGACTCGGAAGATCAAGTGTTACTTTTTTTTTTTATGACAAACCATAACTTAAAATGTACAATTAAAAATTAAAAAACCATAAAATAATTATATCACTTATATTTTTTAATTAATATTTTTTATTATCATTTGTATTTCTCAAATAAAAAATAATTATTTTCACTAAGGTTAACATTTAGTTGTCGTAATTGTAAATTTTATTAAAAACAATAAATCTTTCATAATTGTATTATAATAACTATAATATAACAAATAATTTAATAACTAAAATAACAATTTCTCCAAATATTTCTCATGCATACATGTACTTAAAGAGAGGGGGAAAAAAGACGAATAATCTTCTCAAAAGAAAAGTGAAGAAATAGAAAAAGATTGCTATGCATGCTTACGTTCCCAACAATAATATCTTCCCAAAACCTTAATTAAGAATGGAGGTTAAAATTCGGATCTGATCAGGGGTTAATGGTGAAGATGAGTTCAAAATTGGGCTAATAAAGGAGCGTTCAAGGAAAATCATTTGCTGAAGCTTCGGATCCAATTGCGTCACTAGCAACTTCTTGGTCTTTGTCTTGGATACTTTCATCCTCTTCCTCTCACCCGATCGCAGACTCCGACTGACCCGCGAGAAACCGTTACCGGAACCGCCATCGCTCTGGTCGAATATTGAATGCTCGGCGGCGGAGACACTCCTAAGGGCGTTCTTCAAGTGGCTTAGGTCGTAACATGAGGTGTCGACGGCGACGGAGGCGTCCCGCATGAGAGCGTCGTTAATGTCGCTTAGGTTGTAAGGCGAGCTGTTGACGGCGCTTTGAGGATCTCCAATGGCCAACGCCTTAGCATGACGCGCTTTTCTTGATTCAGGCTTCATTATGAGTATTTGAAGTAGAATGTAAGTGACAGTGAAGAGGAGGAGAGAAACTTTAATGGTTTCAGAAGGAAAGGCGAGAAGGGATGAAGAAGGAAGAAGATGGAGTTTGTTATGTGTTAACAGAGGGGATCTCGGGTGCCTGTTTTATATATACAGGAAGAAACTGGAGACCGATTTCTATTCGTGAACGGCTGATTCTATTTTTTTTTAGTAACATATATGTATATATATATCATAATTAATTTAAGAAATAAACAAAAATCAATTGGAAACCTCTGATGGGCAAAATCCAAAGGGTAAAAGCTGCAAAATTTAAAAATCTGATTTTATATTACTGTAAATATGTAAATTATGTATAATTTTAACTAGTTTTTGTGGTAATTACACTGTGTATATTAATGTTACACGGACCCGAAATTATATAATAAGATATAGAAGTGTTTGGATAGGTTGTAGGATGTGATCTAAGTTTCAAAAGTGCTATTAAAATAATTGTTTAATAAATTTTTTTAGTAAAAAATTATTTAATACTTAATAAAAAATATTATTATTTTAAATTTAGTAAAATTTACTTTTAAAATTTTAAATATAAATTATAATAAAAGCCAAAATTATTTTTTAAAAGTAATAAATGTAATACCAGCTGTGTACAAAATATATATATACAAATAATTATAAATTAAAAAAATAGAGAAAAATAAAAAAAGAAGGATGCAGAGAGCAGGAGAACAATACCAAGCGGCAAATATGTATATATATGTGTATATATATATATATATATGTAATGAAATAGCAGAGGAAAAAAAAAAAGAAAGAGATGAGAGCGCAAGGAGAGAGACATGATTGTGAGAGAAGAGGAGGGGTTGAGCGGCGTGGACGGCTAAGAGAGAAGGATTGCACAATTTTACGCGACGCTGTAGCTGAAAAAGAAAGAAAGAGGAGGAGAGTTGCGCAGGTTGTGCGATGCGGTGATGCGCTACAAGAAGAAGAAGGAGAAAAAGAGAGAGAAGAATCATGGTTGGGTAGAGAGAGAGAGAGAAGAACAAGAAGAAGAAGAAAGGAAAAAGAAAGAAGAGAAGAAAAAGAACGGAAAAAGGAAGAATAAGAAGAAAAAAGGAAGAAAGAAGAAGGGGAAAAAGAAAGAGAAGAGAGTGCGGACGGTATGTATTCTGTACAGAGGTATAATCTTATGCTGATAAATTATAAATGATTTGTGTAAATATAAATGTGTATAAATTGTCTCTGTATGTTTTGTATAGATATTAATAGATGAGAATATAATTAATAAAAATAAATACGTTAATAGTTACGTATGGTATGCTGTGATTATGTATATGTATTTGTGTAACACTCTAAAATTTTATTTTATTTTTATTTTTATTTAATTTTTATTAAAATTTTATTTAATTTTATTCTATTCTAATATTTAATTTATAAAGTTTTAATTTAATTTAATAGAAATAAAAAATAATAATAATAAAATAAAATAAAATTATTTTTGAGATTTAATTAAAATTGATTTTGGAAAAAAAGGGGTGAAAATTTGGATTTTAGGGATATTTTTGAAAAGAAAATCGAAAACCGGAGGTCAAAACGCAATTTAAAAAAATAGTGTTACGTCAGCAGCCCCGGCCAACCAGGGCACGTTGCGTGGCAGGGATGTTGACGCGGGAAGCCACGCAGGACGGAAACACGTGGGCGATCCGCGTGCGCGCACGGACGGCCCAGATCTGTTCCCGCGCGCACGGACGACCCAGATCAAAGGTGCGCGTGGACAGTCCAGATCTCACACGCGCGGACGGTCCAGATTTGATCAAGCACGAACAACCCAAATCGCATCGCGATGGACGGTCCAGATTTATTTCCAATTTAATCGCGATCGGACGGGCCATATTAAATCATTATGGATGGCTCAGATTAAAAGGGGAGGATTATAAATAATCGCATCCACACCTTAACCCAAACCCTAGCCACCAAAACCCTCATCGGAGAAGACGACCCAGCCAACGGAGGAACCAGCTG